CAAACCGGCCGAAAAGTAAGATTTTCCTTTTCTTCTCTGAAACTCATGATCTTCTTGTGTAAAGTTACATATACTATCCTTCTCCACAATTTTCCGGACATATAGGAATTTATTGCATGATGTTTCGTCCCGTACTTCTTCGGAATGCCCGTCACTAGAATCGAATTGAGATAATTTTCCACCGGTTTGATTATGATAACGTACGGCTTCTTCTCTCAAATTCACTGTTTCTTTTACATATATGTATATTAACTGACTTTATATTTCGTCATGTAAGCACCCATGCCCATTCTGGCTAGATTTACCGCTGTAAATATTGACATCGGGACAGTTTTCGGAAATCATAACGTATGGCGCACAAAATATCAATGATAACGTACGGCGCATTTTTCTACTTGGTGGACTATGACGTCAGATATTTTCACGACCTAACCATACAATTTTCTTTCATTTTCTTTCATTATAAATGAAAGGAACGTCATTTGATCAAAACAATTACATGTAATTCATGAATTTGCCTAATATTCTAGACAGCGTTTTTTCCACAAACGCCCCCAACAAAAACAATATGATATATGTGCATGGAAATTAAAGTCATTTCATCCATAACTATTTTCTTACAATAGCGTATGAACTTACAACTTTAATAACAACGGCACAATGACGTCATGCTAAGCACATATTACCCTTCTAAAACGACGTCATTTTAACGCGGTTCATTTATTAAGTGCGCTAAAATGACTTTGTTCTTTGGCACGCGACTCATCTGGCACCCCAAATGCGAGATGAAATTTTTGGCGTGGGTGAAACTCACGGAAACACCAGTCTGCTATGCAAGAAATTATTATGCAAACACTCAAAAATATCCAGTTTCTTTATTTGGTTCCACGCACCTTCTTATGCCTGGAAAGCCTGAGCGATAAACAACTTTTCTATTCAAAACTGACTGATAAATAGAACATTAATTAAAAGAAAAATGCGCCGTACGTTATCACTGATTTTGTGTGCGTCATACGTTATCATTTCCGGAAAGTGCCTCGATATTTTTACCGGCTATTCTAGCAAGAATGGGTATGAATGCTTAAATGATAACATACGACTAGTATTATATCTTTTTTTAAAGTCAGTGGTTTCAGTTATATTCAATTATATATCTGAAAGAAACAATTTTAGAGAAGAAGCCGTATGTTACCGCGATCAAACAGGTGGAAAATTCTCTCGCTTCGAATCTAGGGACGGGACAAAACATCATGAAATTAAAATCCTGTGTGACCAGAAAATTGAAGAGAATGATATTATATGTATTTTTACACTAGAACATCACGAATTATAGAGAAAAAAGGGGAAAAGTTACTTTTCGGTTGCATTCGCCATCTTGTTTGTTTGGTTTTTTGTTTGTTTTGGGTTTAACGTCACATCGACACAGTATAGGTCATATCGCGACGTTCCAGCTTTACTGGTGGAGGAAGACCTCAGGTGCCCTTCCGTGCATTATTTCAGGCACGAACGGGTACCTGAGTAGAACCATCGACGTTCCGTAAGCTAGCTGGATAGCTTCCTCACATGAAAGAATCAAAGTCCCTGTCGGGATTCGAACCCACAGAGGTGAGGGGCAAGTGGTTTGAAGTCAACGACCTTAACAATTCGTTACGGACGCCCCTTGTTTGTTTGGGTAACGAACGGTGTGATTCTTCCCCGTGAAACTAGTAGGGTTTTTTTCTCAAAAAAACATATGTCCCCCTATGTACTCTAAGAATGGAAAAGCGGCAAAGTATACAAGGTGAAAGTTAAAACATGGACTGCAGTAAGTTATAACAAATACAATAGTTGAAGGTGAAATTGCAAAGTAATGTGGACAATGATGAAATGCTTCATGATTTTACTATCAGAGAGTGAAGATACATATTTAAAAGAAATCATCATGAAGTTTCATCGCAATTTTGTTAAGCGTAGCAACGCGTAATAGCAATATGTGCCTTGGTAGTTTAGTAACTGATCAATCCTGTAAAGATTCATGAAAATCCTGTAAGCAGTTTGAGCTGTAAAAGCCGGACAAGGTTTACTATTTCAGCTCTGTAGGCAATTTTGTGCAGCAAAACAGATTGTCCATGCGATTTACACTACTGGCAATTTCAAAATAAAAAAGTATTTAGCTTCATCATTTAATAAAAACGTTCAATATCTTAGGGAGACATAGAAATTGCTATATTTGCACACATTTATGCTTAAATGTCTACCCAAAAGGAATTTTGTCTAGTTCGAGGATTGCAACATTGATACCTGGATTACAAACTCTTTTTTAATTCAGTTGCTGGAATACTATAAATAGCTATGGTATGAGTTCCCTTAACAGAATGTTTCAATATAATTTAATCAAACATATTAGCTCAAAATAATGAACAAAATGTTACTTTGGTTTGACTTGATAACCAAACACATGACTCCATATTATCTTAATTCGATGGTATTCAAGATTAAAATGTAGATGTATATCAAATAATAATTAATCAATAAATCGTACCTTGATTTATTATTACGATTATTATATAATTATTATAAGTACTTTACGCACGGGTATTCTGCATAGGGCAATTGCAATGGAAATAAATATATAAAGTGAAATAATTAATTTGATAATTATTAAAGATGTTAGTTAATTTTCTGATTTAATTCATAGGATAGATAATTTATGATTTAGGATAAACATGGTTTCAAAAGATATTTATTTAAAACCCTCCATTGAGATGAATTTTCATATAATATTGTTCAGGCTTACAAACAATTAATTCCAAGTCATTCCAAATGTAGTAAGCGTGACATATTGTGTTCTATAACTTTTATTTTGAAGCAATCATACATTTGTTTAATTCAATTAAGTATTCTTTCTTGCATGTTGTTTTTCTAATCCTTTTATCGAAAAAAGGTTGCTCAGATCATTATAAAATTAAGCCTCGCTCGAGGATTGAACCAACGACCCTGGATTACTTATCCGATGCTCTCTCTTTTGAATATAACTTATAACGATATGAATTGTTATAAATTAATAACATTTGCTTACGTTTTATTTCATACTCATGCCCTTACTGTGATACGTTGTTATATATATTTATCATTTTTTCTTTTTATTTTATTGATTATTTTATAATATTTGTATTTACCTATGTCGTCTACAATAACAGAAAGGGTCAATTTACGAGTAATTGATAAATATTTATGTTATACAATGAATATCAGTACGGAAGAGCTGCATATTTCATAATTACGGAAATTCTGTACTTTTGTATTTTTGAGCTTGCAATTCGTGACAAGTTTCTAGTTGTATTGTTTTACTTTGTATTTCGGTCCGGAGGCCTATATTACTATAAATAAAATACTGTTGTAATGCATTTTTAGTATTACAGGTGTATAACTAAGCATTCAGCAACTACGTTTAACCCTGCGGATATCATCGGAAATGATGTTTAGGCTTGTCCTTGCAATATTAGGTATAGAAGATATAGAAAAACATCTTACAAAAGTTTTACATAGAGGATATTTGTTTGTTTAGCATGTAAGATTGAAATATATTTCAATTAGTGAGCACCAGATGCAGCGTTTCACGAGTGGCGTAGCTACGAATGAAAAAAATAGCTGGTGCTCACGAATGAAATATATTTCAATTATATATATATAACAAATACATGTTCATATTATTTCATGCTTTTAAGTGATAACTGGATTTGCCGCGTAACATTGCGCATTCTAAATTGTGACGTCATCACATCATGACGTCACATCATCAATTTTTAAAATATAGTTCTGTTATTAATGTCTCGAATTTTATTACATTTTTAACATGATGTATGATGACATCGACTTTCTTACCTAAAGAAGCAAATTTTACGTATGACGGCATTTATTTTTGCCTGTTATTCAATTAAGTTATGATTTTCTTTTCATCCGCCGGCTACAGTGAAAGTTAAATTTTATAAAATTTTACTAGTGGTTTATCAGAATAATTTTAATCATCCGATTTATTACAGAAAAAAACACTGGAAAGCATGAACTAAATTAATCTAAATGTGAGATCATTTCTGTTTCGTGTTTCTTTATTGCTAGGATTATTCTATACAAACAATACCAATAAACACTGTAATAATTAAAAATTGTAACTATAACAGAATCCGGTTTAGTTTGGTATTGATTTTAAGCAAAAGAGATAAAATGATTGGTTGTTTATATTGTTATGATCATTATTATATTCAGATCAAGAAGTTATCAGTAGAATGCAAATTTAGACATGATACATTTTATTTACTTATAGAATCTGTTTTAAAATATTTTCGAATGCAGCTTCAAAATTTATATTGATTATGTTACCTAGATTTAAAAAAAAACGTATTATAACGCATAGTACGGTTAAACATATACATGATTTTAATTTTGAAATCAATATTGATACATTTAGAATGTGTAACACTCGGTAAAGACTCATAATCAAGACAGACGTCTGCTGAAATCAGTTCAATCGACCACTTGTTAATTACTTTATACAAATAATTTCATAAGCATTTTTTCAGTTTTTGTTAAAAAAGGTAAGTGCTTTCTTTCATACTTTTAGTGGGCTTACATTATTACGTTTTTATATCATTTCAATAAGAATATTTTATGTTTTATATCAATCTTGTCTGTATAATTAAATCATATTGACACTCAAACCAAAAAAGTCACATGACAAAGCCACGTAAGCAGGTTTTAAATTATCATCATTGGTGAAAATTCCAGTTGGAATACAAGTACAAGCAACATACAATTAACAATGTCAATGATAAATAAGGACTTAACAAAATAAGTTAAAAAGCCTTTTGTAATATTAACAGCATATTTAAAAATTGATGATATATTGACGTTGGCGGAGGGGAATAAACCCCAAAAGTACCAATACCTTTGTAAATGTTTCCTATTCTTATTATTTCAATGAAATCAAGTGCTTTTCGCATAAAAGAGTAATTCAAACTTACAAGTTGTTCCCATTCCTGTTCTCTCAACTGAAATAAAGAGACAAAAACACACAAATATACTAATGGTTAACATAATGAGATAAAGACTACTCTTAAAAAAGCAATATAATATTGTTGCCATGCAACTTAAACTTAATTTGGAGAGCTATATTACGAAGAAGAAGATTTTAGATTAAAAATGTTGTACAAATCATTATCAAAGTATTGCATATAAGTAAGAGATAAAGACGATGTTACAAAAAAAGTTGTATCTAGAAAAGTCAATGATAGTAACTGATTGCTTGTAGAGAATCAAATTCAAACTTACATGTCTTTTCATTCCATCTTCTGTCAACTGAAATAAAGAGACATAAACACATAAATATACTAATGGTTAACATAATGAGATTAAGACTACTCTTATAAAAGCAATATAATATTGTTGCCATGCAACTTAAACTTAATTTGGAGAGCTATATTACGAAGAAGAATATTTTAGATTAAAAATGTTGTACAAATCATTATCAAAGTATTGCATATAAGTAAGAGATAAAGACGATGTTGCAAAAAAAGTTGTATCTAGAAAAGTCAATGATAGTAACTGATTGCTTGTAGAGAATCAAATTCAAACTTACATGTCTTTTCATTCCATCTTCTGTCAACTGAAATAAAGAGACATAAACACATAAATATACTAATGGTTAACATAATGAGATTAAGACTACTCTTATAAAAGCAATATAATATTGTTGCCATGCAACTTAAACCTTTATTTGGAGAGCTATATTACGAAGAAGAATATTTTAGATTAAAAATGTTGTACAGATAATTATCAAAGTATTGCATATAAGTAAGAGATAAAGACGATGTTGCAAAATATTGTATCTAGAAAAGGCAATGGTAGTGACTAATTGCTACGGAAAGTCACCGGTTGCGATGTAAATTACTTGTTGCTATGGAAAGTTAATGGTTGCTATGGACGTAATTGGTAATTATCTAAAGTCTGTGTTTGTTATGGAAGCCAATAGTTATTAGAAAAAAATGGAAAACTATTTTGTGGAGGAGTGTTCTTAATCGAAGCCAAACAACATTATGTGATATAAACGTCGATAAGGTGTCACAAAAATATAATTTTATTGTTATTTTTTTGTATACTTAGGCAGTAATAAGCATTTTTTTGTCTTCTGCTACTTAAAAAGAAATGATAATCAATTTGATATTCAAATTAAATTTATAATATTGTCGTTATATACTGGCATAATGAATTTGTATGATAAAAAGAACAGTATCTGTTTTGATTTTGCCAACGCTTTGACAGTTATTTTCTAGTAAATTTACAAAAAGCTATGGACGTTGCTCTATTTTGTCAATATATTTACACGTATTTCCCATACCAAAGATATTGCGGTCGAAAAGGCTGAACGTTCCTGCAGTACAAAGCATTAAAGCTTCTGACTGTATGTAATGAAAATCTAAAGGTTGAAACTCGGACATATTGGACATATCGATTTAACTTGCATGTATTTTGAAGTATACTTTTCTTCGATAAAACCGAGTTAACGTCAGGTGTAACATGTAGTTATCTTGGGTTTAAACTATTTTGATAAATTAGATCGAATCTGTTCAAGCAAAATATATATATACAATGATTTGTCTAACAGAATTCTGTAAGTCATTTACCCTTGGTGATTTTTTAGATTTATTACTCTAAAATATTTAAATGAGAACTATATCTGAATGCGATTCATACCCCCACCAATGTCCTTGACAGAAGACAACTTGGAAAGGTGGTTAAGGGAATAACGTTAGTGGCACATATACATATACATAAAAAGAAATAATCTCTGGTGAAAAAAAAAGACAAATTGTACAGGTAATAGTAAAAATATATATTGCCAAATCATGTTCGATACAGTTCGATACAGTTACAAATAACCTTTCATTTTCTCAATGTACTAAAACAAACAAAAGAAGTGAAGTTAAGAAAATAGCATAATTATGTCAAAATTGAATTAAGAGTGGAAAAACTTTGCATACTGAGCTTACTTGTGACCCTTCATATATTATATAGTTTCAAGTGAATATCTGTTCTAGTTTCAAAAACATTTAAGTATTAATGGTTATATCAGAACATTTTCTCAGCCTAATCATAATTCAATGGCAATGTAGAATTTTCGTCATATGAGCTTGCTTGTAACCATTCATATAAATGTTAAGTTTCAAGTAAATATATGTTCTGTTTTAAGAAATATTATAGTAAATAAAGTTAAAGACATACAAATGGACTTAGCTTTGTCAAAATACAAATCTCCCCCTCACTTTTTTTGTTGTCAAACTTGACCTGCATATCTTACTTGCGACACATCGTATATATTTGAAGTTTCAATTATATGTTCTAGTTTGAGAATGTTCAAGTACATGTTAAAATTTTATAACATTTTCTAAGTCAATTTTTGACCTTCAAGTGTGGCCTTGAACCTAAGCCGGCACAAATGAAACATGGGTTCTGCACATAACCTTGTTGAGGGGAACATTTGAGTAAAGTTTGAAGAAAATTCTTCCATTAGTATAGGATTTATAAAGCGGACACGACATATTGTCTAATATTTCATTGTATGTAAATTTCAAGACTTAAAAAGGGGCATAACTTTGTTAAAATGCAATACATAGTTATGAAACTTGATCAACATATCTTACTTGTGACACCTCATATATCTTTTAAGTTTCAAGCAAATACATTTTCTAGTTTCCGAAATATTCAAATACATGTTAAAAACTAAAAATATTTTCTATGTCAATTTTTGACATTCAAGTGAGACCTTGACCTTAAAGGGCAACATTCGCTGCCATGCAGCGAGTATTTGTTGGTGTAACTAATCAGTGATGTAAAACTGTCTGTAATAAGCCCTGAACTATAAATAGCATGCAGTGTTAACCTGCATGAGAATGTAAACAAAAACAGTTGGTTTTACACAGGAGAGGTTTAATGGATGTTTTATATAACTCAAAGATTAATTAAAGACAATATCAAGTTATCTTGTCCAGATATTATTTTTGAAGTCAGTTGTTTTTCTCTTTTTTTTTTCACTGGAATGCTGTATGTGTCCTTCATCAAGTCAGACAATTATATCAAAATCCAAAAGATGCGCCTTACATGGGGCATTTCTTTTAGGAACAACCTGCTAAAAATGTTCTTGAAAGGAATTTAAAATATATTTAAACTGTTAATGTATAAAATTTTTATGCATATCCAACATTTAGTTTGATTAACATTTGTGAAATGTAATTTTTGACTACAAGATATTTACAACAAAAATTATGGTGAAAATGAAATATACCTGGAAGTTACTTTTATTGTTTTCATGAAGTTTAAACCATTCAAATACAAGTTAAATCAGTACTTTGAAATTTTAAAAAAAATCATATATTAATGGATTATTGTAAATTTGTGGGATTTGATAAAGCAAGTCAGTAAAAGTTATTGTTTTATTCAGCATTCCAATGTGTTGTCTGCTGAAAATCTCGCTCCCTTAAATATACATCGTCTGCTACAAATCTCTCTCCCTGAAATAAACACTGCCACGTGCTTCTGTTTACTACTGAAGGTTCATGACCTATAATTATCACATGGCTCCTCCCAGGGAAATTCAAATTTCAAATTTGACAGCAAGTATTTTTTTCCAGAAATACACTTAACAAACTTATATTTTGAATAATTTTGGTCAATCTTTATCAAAAATATCTATGCCTACAAACATGCCAAGTGTTGTTTTAATGCATTTTGTAATTAATCTTAAATCTTTGAAAAAGGGTCCCTGAAGTGAAGCATGCATAAAATTAATAAGAAACCTGCCCTAGCGCCATCCGCTGGCTTTTATAGTCCAGTTGGGCCTTTAAGCCGACAGAAAGGTAACATAGGTTCTGCTCATAACATGGTAAGGTGAACATTTGAGCCAAGACTGAAGAAAATCTTTTAATTAGTGTAGGACTCAGAGAGCGGCCACGACATACTGTCTTATATTTGACTGTTTTATATTTGACCTTCAATTGTGACCTTGACATTGAGCTGACACATGGGCAGCCCTTGTTGAGGTGAACATTTGAGCCAAGTTTGAAGAAAATCCTTCAATTGGTATAGGATTTATAGAGCGAACATGATAATGGAGACGGACGAACCGATAGACGGACCGTAGCAAAACATAAAACATGCGAAGACATTATAGCCCCCCCCCCCCCTAAATCACATGTTCCCAATATATTGATATCATATATTAGATAATCTACAAACACATTAAATATATGCTCCCTCCGATAGTTTCTTTTATGTATGGATCTCTGGTTACATTAAAGATAACTCTTTTTTTATTACATTATGTTAAAGCTACCCTTAATTGATATCCACATACCTCGATTGGTAAAAGCATTACTTTACAAGAACTTTACAAGAACTTGTAGACGTTACATCATTTTGAAGACTATTTCAGTTTATATTAGAGCATTTGAATGATGACACGCGTTTTCTTATTTCTGTGTCAAAATCTAAGCATGAAAAATGGTACACATAAGATACTGTTTTTTTAGCCTATAAATAAAGATATGTGTCTTAGCATATAAAATATAGATACAGAAATGTGTTTTCTCATTTTCTCTCTCATAACCTTAGCATAGAAAATGGTACACAATAGAATATAGATATAAAAGAATAGTAAAAGACGAAAAATACTGTGTTATAACAAGATATGTTTGTAAAACATATATGCCCCCCTATCGGAAGCCAATTATTTATGTGATCAGGTTATTATGACTGACTTTTCACCTAGTGACCGAAAACTCAATAAGGGTTATTTACTGGTCATGACTAGTTACTAGGAAATTGTGACTGCAATGGTTGTGTGCAGCAATTTTATGACAAAGTTATCACAAATCTTACCAAATAGCATATGCATAAATTGTATGAATCATATAGGCCTCATTAATAACAGCCAAGTTGTTATATTACATAAGACCTTGAACTGTGTAGATAAAACACATTTTTAGTTTAATAAAAATTATCAACCACTGCAAATTTACATACAAGGTCAATATGACATTGACATTTGCCACTTAATCAATAAAGTTTACTGGCCAAGACCAATGAACCTGTGAAGTTTGAAGATAAAGGGCCCATGAGTTGTTGGGGTATTGATAAGAAAGCGTTTTTAAATATAAGGTCAATATGATCTTGACCGCTGATCCGTTAACCCCAAGAATCCATTGAGGAAATCTTCTGACCAAAAGTATTGCATCTGTAATGTTTGAAGGTCAAGGGTCAATGGATTGTCCAGTTTTTGATAGAAAACTGGTTTGACATACAAGGTCAATGCGACCTTGACCTTTGACCCTCTGACTCCAAAATCAATAGGGGTCCTCTTCTGGTCAAGACTAATGCATCTTCAAAGCGTTACGGCCAACAACCGATAGCTTGTCAAACTATTAAATTAAATTCAGAAACCGATTTTTTCCTACAATGTCAATTTGGCTTTGACTTTTGACTCCTTGACAATTAAATCAAAAGGGTGACGTATAATGCACCTACTAAGTTAGAAGGCAAACATCCTATGGGTTGTCAAGTAAATGATGAGTACATGTGAACTTTACCTTTGACCCCTTAACCAAAAAATCAATAGGGGTCATCTGCTGCTGGTCATGGGCAATCACCATAAAGTTTTAAGTTCCTAGGCCTAAGCCTTCTTTAGTTACTGATCAGAAACCGTTTTACCAACAATGTAAATGTTACCTTGACCTTTGGCACTCGACACCAAAATTAAAAATAATAGGATTCATCTGCTGGTCAGGAACAATCACCGTATTAAATTTGAAGTTCCTAGGCTAAAGCATTCTTAGGTTATTGACCGGAAACCGTTTTTACCTACAAAGTCAATGTGAACTTGACCTTTGTCCCCTTGACCCAAAAATCAATAGGGGTCATCTGCTGGTCATGGACAATCACCATACCAAGTTTGAAGTTCCTAGGTCTAAGCTTTTTTGAGTTACTGATCGGAAACCGGTTTTACCAACAAGGTCAATGTGACCTTGACCTTTGACCCATGACTCCAAAAATCAATAGACTTCATCTGCTTGTTATGAACAGTCACCACACCAAGTTTGAAGTTCTTAGGCCTAAGCGCTCTTAAGTTATTGATTGGAAACCGTTTTTTCCTGCAAGGTCAATGTGACCTTGACCGTTGACCCCTTGACCAAATTCAATTGGGGTCATCTGCTGGTCATGAACAATCATCATAGCTAGTTTGAAGTTCCTAGGCCTAAGCGTCCTCTAGTTATCACTCGGAACTGACCGACGGACCGATAGACTGACGAACAGACAAATGCAAAGCAATATACTTCTTTGAAGGGGGGAGGTGGCATTATTAATTGCTTAAAGACAAATGTTATGGTAAAACCGCAAATATCATAATTAATTTCTTCGAATGTCCACTTTACAACAATCTTTTAAGACATATAATTAATAAAGTATTATCATCATTCATGTTTTGCCATTATATCGTCTAGAATAACGAATAACGAATAAGGTTGCTTAAAATTCATATCATGGAATTAAAATAAGGAAGCAAACGCTTTGTATTAAATCATCCTTTTTTAAATGAATCTCTTGTTGTGATTGCAATTCGTCATTTGATTTAGCCGTAATCCATGTGCATGACCCTTTTTATTTCTATAATAAACTTGTAATTATTGATATATAGTGCATTTCTTAAAAATATACTTTTCTTTCTCCATCCACGCCTCATCTCATATTTAATACCATAGCCTCATTATCATTCATCATAGATCATACACTTAATATAGTAACTTAACTATGGTGACAGGGCCTCAATTTTCGCTCATAGCTTACCGCCACGCTTGCGCAGTTGTTGAAGTGAAAACATAACACCTGTGTTTGTGATTTTATTTTGCAAATGTTTCATGTATATTAGTAGAAAATTAAGAGTAAAAAGATGAGGCCTTTATCAATTCCTCTTTTTCTGTAACTTTCATAATAATATTCTAATCCACATTTCTTGTGCTGTGAACATTTATTATCTTAAAACATAACAGAAGTTTAAATTGCATTTACAAATTAGTAATTAATGTATAATTGCAACTTGGAAATAGAATTGTAATGTTACCTGATACTTGAACTTATCAGTAATGTATGTGGTCATGATGTTATTCTTCATGGTAAATTGTAGAATTTACAACAGAAGCCGTGTGAATGCTTATCCTCTTAAATACAGTGTATACAATTGTCAACACGGAAATTATTCTAACACCAAATTTTAAAGGTATAAGATCTTCTTTTTTAATTAGGCGGAAAATATCCTTACCGTCCATGAATTGCCTAACGCCTCGTCGTCATTTGTGTCTTTATCCTGAAAGAAGTCAGTATTAAATTACTCAGTTTTACAAATATGGAAATTTGTTCAGTAAAGCATAATGTTTCGTAAGTGTTATCTGACAAGATTGAGTGTCAATATTTCAAATTAAAAAAAAATTAAATCTAAACAGCCTAATTTAAAATAATCCAACCTTAAAGAAAAATGAGGTTGTATCTAAATTATAAAATGAATGATGGCAGTGTACAAATACAATTTTATTGTGACGTTTATTTGACAATTCGATAAAATATATTCCAAGGAAAATCGGTCGTCCTCAACCTCTGATTCACGAAAACATGTTAATGGAATTTAAAGAAATAATGACTGTCATTTCAAAATGTTTTCTCAGGGCTATTTGTTCTTCACACAATAATTTGCTGTAGAGTTATACATGTATTATGCTGCTATGAAACAGAATAATTTGTTGCAAACAAGATTTGAAGTAATGATCAAATCTTAAAGTAACTGTTAAAAGGTGAATAGTTTTTTTTTCAGTCTAAGAACTGGTTGTTTTGTAATATCAAAAAACAACAAGTTATCAAAGTACAAACATTACATACTCGATAAGGATATAGTAAACATAGAGCAACGGAGAAAACGACAGAGTTACTGAAGGTACCCGACGATAATAAAGAGGAACATGTTATTAGATTTATGTGATGGACTTTATTTTGTTGAAGTCCCAAATGTAGTTAAAAGTACACTGAAATAATATGTCTATATTTTACAGTAAATGGTGCATATTTTATTATAATACTCTTTTGCTTAATTGTGCGCATTTATGATTTAGTTCTTCCCTGCGATTTAATTCCATACATCACATAGATAGGTTCATATGAACTATTTTTATTTGCTTTATTTAATATATTTTATATATGATCCCAAAGTTCTACTAAGACCAGCTGCGCAGCGTGAGACAATATCACAACGATGAAAGGAAAGAAAATAGCCGTGGATGTTGAAGGAGTCAGTGCCAGTACATGTAGCTTTGGCATATTTGCAGTCATGACTTGAAAACTTCAATAATGTATATCTTATTTCAAATAATGACAGAAGAGTTGACTTCATTGTTGTGAATGCAATAAAATTTCTTGTCGGCCATCCCAGAGTTAATATATTCTTTAACAGTGTTCCTGGTAGAAATATCTAAGCTCTGATTTTTTACAAATTTGGAGTAAGCATAAACGCGATATATTTATTAAATACATCTACAGACACTAAGCTACCCATGGAGTGGAGTTAGTTTTTGTCTACGGGTCATAACCAGTTTGGACAAAAACATCATTTACTCTTTTTATTTCTAAAGTAATAAATACATCTACATTTCCTACACCTTGAGATAACCATACATCAATAAAACCAAGTGACTGTAATAAATCTGTAACTCATGTTTGTGTTAGGTCTTACATGTAAGCCTCTGCACGATAAATTATAAACTATTTGAACATATTTTACATATTCAAGTTGTATAATTTAAGACCAGCATTTTATTACACTTACAATTCTTCTGCATTGCAAATGCGTTCTTCCTAGTTCTCCATGATAAATAAAATTGTTCTGAGTTTGTACTCTGACGCCTAACATATTTTTTTATAAAAATTGAAATGCACTTTTTTTCTAATTTACAACAATCATATACACCGCTTACCTCTGAAGCATAGTTCAAAATTGGTGAGATTAATTTATCAAAAGGTCTAGTTTATGTTTCACAGTTATACATGGGAATTTAATCAAATCTAGTTGTAATTTATTTAAAGCCTTCAAAGCATGACCAGACAGTGTTTCAAAAGAAGTATAAACGATTCACCAGTTGTAAAGACTACTCCTAAATAAGTAAATTTGTCGGCAATATCCAAATTTTCTCCTTTATATACAAATGAAATGTTATATCTTAGTCTGCCTTTTCTGAAAATCATTATTTTAGCTTTCTTAATATTAACAGTAAATCTCCACTTTTCACAATAATTCTCCAATAACAATAAACCTTGAAAATTAATATATAATTGAAATCTGCAATTATAGCTCCATGAAGAAATTAAAAGTTATAGAATGAATAAGGATAATTTAAAGTTAAAAGGATAGATAATTCTGGCAATATGGTCTCAAAATTTATAAACCCTATCATATTATTATAATGTGGGAGTTTGAAGTAAATCCTTAAGTTTAAGAAATGAAGAAGTTTCTGTAAGAATCAATCATTAAAATTCTCTAGAGAAAATATAAGGAGGACAGAATTCTAGAAATAGTCAATCTAGATTATCAGTTCTTATTTCTCTAACCTGATTTGAGTGGTAATAACGAATATATACTTGAAGTAGATACCTTAGGAATAAAAGAAGTTATAAAAAACAAATAGCATTTCCTCAAAAAAAGTTCTTAATTCAGGATGGTAATTATAATCATATTAAGGTGCTATAATAATTATTATGAACTTCGCTACATAAAATATGGGTGATGATAAGAAAATATATTTAAAGTTTGGAGACATAAATTAAGGAATAAAGCAGTTATATAAAAACACATATTTCTTCATGACAATTCTAAGTTAAAGGGGGATAAATCTGATAACAATTGAGCTAGAGTTAGAACCTTGTCACACATGATGTGGTTTATGAAAGAAACATATATTCTAAGTTTGAAATAAATACTCTTAAGAAGAATAGAAGTAATAGTGAAAATTATTTAAGTGCGTAAAAAATTTAATTAAAAATCAGGACGCGGTCGCCGACGCTGGCTGAGTGGGACAGATCTCAATATCCCTTTGTCGAGCTTAGAATGATCTGCATAATACCCATACTGCCAAATATCCATATTTTAAGTTTCATAACAATATTTTCTGTACTATTTGAGGTATCACAAATATTCTTATATTTGCTATATTTTAAATCTTTCTGTTTGACAGTATCAAATATTTTCAACATAGAAAGAAAGGATAATTTCCAGATTGCTATTAATCCATATTTAAAGTTTCATGAAAAAAGCAGTTCTTCTGGGTTATCACGGGATCCAGTTTTTGTGTTATATTAACCATGTATTTTTGTTGTAATAGCAACCAGATTTTTCAACAAATGAAGAAAATAAACAAAAACGAACATAATCTCCAGACTGCCATCTACCCATACCTCAAACTTTATAAAACAATAATTTTTTTTACTGTTTGTGATATCACGGAAACCATTTTTGTGGACAGACAGAGGGATAGACGGCCGGACGCACAGACAGATGGACGGAGGGTAAACCTGATGCCTCCTCAAGATAAACAGGTAACGAACTAAAAAGTTAAAGGTTAATGGATACTGAGTTGGTTAATTTACGATATTTTAAATGTTAATGCCGTAGCAGTATCCAGTGTTTACAAAATGCGTGTGTTGAAATCAAAATATTGAGATTTTCATAAAATTATGTAAAAAGTATTCTTATGAATCATGTTTTCTTTTTAGACTATGACGAGAAGAACCTGGAACCTCGCTATATTTGTTTTCCTGATATTAAGTGTTAATGTTTCGATTATTCTATAACATATCACTAGCATTATTATTCATTATAATTAAACTTTTATGGTCCACATGTTAAAAAGTACTTTAGAATCACCCGTCGAGGCAGTAACAAGTGTTTGAAAATACATGTATTTAACTCAAAATATTAAGATATTACGATTTTTTCCAGAGGGTTAAAGTTTTTTCCCTAATATAAAATGTTACGGTATCAATCATACTGCAACAATATTACAAGCATACATATCCATTTTATTGATAAACATTTATGTTGCAAAAACTTTTATATATCAATAGTTTTTGTGTGATCTTAAGTAATATTTCAATGACAGTGGAAATATAATTTACTATCAGTTTAATTATGTACCAAAACGTTTAAATCAACAGTATGTGTAATTCTAATTGATATTTTTTTATCAAAAAGTAAGAAGTAACCAAATAGGCATTTATTGTTAGAATAATTTCTACATACATAAAAGTTTAAGGAATGAATGTTTTTGGTTGAATTTTATTCAAGCGTTATATAGCCTTACCATCTGTGAAGAGCCTGAAGCTCCATCATTATTACTGTCTTTATTCTGAAAGAAGTGAAAGAAGGATTCAGTATTGAATTATTAATAGGTTTTTGCGAAAAATAGTAATTACAAATACACAAATATGTCCCGTTAAGCAAAATGTTTCATGCGTGTTAACATGAGATGATTGTCATTAGTTCAAACTAATCTCATCACTGGATCACGCCTAATTTTACACAAAAATAAACTCGTATTTAATCTTTTAAAGCTACATTATATAATTACATTAATAAATATGTGAAAATATTTTTCCGTCGGCCTAAAAATCAAGCATTCTACAGTTTCATAAACCTTTTTTTTTCACAATATTGTTGTAAATGTCATCAAATATTGCTCATAAATTAGGATTTTAAACGGAAAACCCCACGGTAACACTAAATTTCGTATACGAATTTTAACATGCAAATGAAGACTATAATCAGCTCATGTGTGTGCTACGTCACCGTGTTATAGTTGCTATCCGGACACAGTAAATATGAGATTTTCTTGTGCAAACACACTTTAACCGTTTTAGCTTCACGGTGCACTAGACCTGGGGTTCAGAAAAAAGTAATCATCTCCTAAAAAGGATTAAATTTGTATGAAAACATCCGTTACAATGCGGAAATATACAGTTAAATTAAGACTATTGAATATAGTCATGTCTGTTGATTGAATATTGATGTACGGATGTTTCTCATGCAAGCAGAAAATGTACTTCCGATTTCGCCACAATGAGGTTGCCCATTTTTTATGTTTATAAAACTTATTTTGGTTGTCTTGACACCAAAATAAAATCTGAAGTCGATATAAAACCCAATTTATTAATGAAATATCGCTTTTTCTGTTTTCATGAAATTTATTTAGTGTAGCTTTAAAGGTATCAATACAATGTATGAAACCATTTGAGTTAAAAAATTTAATGGTTGAAATATTAAAAGTAAGATTCTAGCAATAAGATTAACTTACCGACATTGTGTTTTAAGATATACAAATATTTCCAACCTGAAAGAAAAAAAACAATAGTTTGCGTGACTTGCTTGTTAATTAAAAACATAAAAGAAAAAAATACATGTTTATAAAATCATGTGACTTTATAAATAAAACATCATGTTTAAGTTGTTTTTTTATCAATACGTACATGAGACCGATGATATCATACTTACTCAATTTAAAGTTAAGGTTAGATTAGTACAACACAGTTGGTAATGATTTATCATATTTCTACAACATTAAGAAGTATATCTTGTTCTTTCTTTATACAGGAATTATACTATTCAGATTGTTCCAGTTTACGATAATTTAAGTATCTTTTCATTTGCTCAATAAAGTAAATTCCGCTTACAACAATACTCAGGAGACCGCCGAATTTATACTTACATTACGTATGAATAACGTATAAATTATTCCTTGCCTTTCATGACCATAAAATTCAACACATATAAGTAATTCATTTACAATACTTTTAGATGTAGTAATTCATTTACAATATTTTTACATGTAAGTGACAGATTTCTTTCAGGTATCACCATCATCATCACCACTTGATTTACATCATTGATATTAAAGATGTTATCGTATTAATCGTGTATATAGTGTATATAACATATACTAGTTATAATGTTGAAGGCAAAACCAGAAATATACATTTTTACCTGACAATTTATTTATTTAATTTTTAATGTTCAACATTTAATAATGGCAAAGGTATGTTACATTTGAATTCTTTTCATTAAAATCCACTTTCTTTTTCTGTACCTTGCAATTTTTATTTCAACTTCCGCTTTATTCAAAAATAAAACCAGGGTTGACAAAACTGTATAACGTCAAAAACAAGGCACTACGTAGTTAAACTTAATTATATATTTAACATTCAACTTTAAACAGATCTATTTTAAACGTCTGCTTGTGCAATATGATACTCTTGTTACCAAGCATAAATGTTACTTCACTAATTAAAAGTCGTTCATGCTTTATTTATGTAGCATTTAGCGTTTCAATTTTGATACATTTTACTATGTGAAAGCAAAGGTTATCTCTCAAGTGGCTTTTGTGTTGTTTTCTTTTGTTTTGATTTTTTTGCTCATAGTTACGAGACAAATTATGACACTACGTACGTCGTATAAGCATGATTTAACTTTGTTTTCGATTAGCTACTATTCCGACGGTCACCGTAAAAGGGCTCAAAATCAATTTATGTATATGAAATAAATTTATACAATAAATCAAATAAAAAACAGTTTTTCTTACCTTTCTACTTTTCATTTTGACTTATAGGAAATTCCAATATGCTATAAATATAATCGCACATCTTCGGGTCTTTTCGATATACTTCGCTGATCTTGTTTACCATATTTCATGACGAGGTTCAATAATATAGTAGTTCATAATATGCGTAAAGTATTTTATCGTTAATTATTCCGAAGTTAAAAAATGTTTAACTGTTTAAAGTATTTGTCTTTTTATTAACACTTTGAAGAATGTGTGCAATAAGCATAACGTATTTATGTTACACGTGATTTTTACACTGAAAAATATATCCATTACAGTTGCATTAATGTATCCGTATACCCTAGAGTGAGAGAAGCGAGGTTCTCGTACTGGGTTAACATTTTTTATACTTCACTTATATTATGTGGTTGATAATTTACCTGTCTTTATGGAAGTTTTTTATTTCATTTTTTTTTATTTTTATTTATTTTTTTATTTTTTTCAGTTTAAGAAAACCGATATCTGCAGTTGTTCAATTGTATCGGTAGTGGAAATAGTTGGTCTTATATTGATGATGTTAATGTATCGTAACATGATAGGCAATGTCATATTTTTCCGTTAATCAAGCTGGATTAACTATCGTATATCAATACGTGTGTTTAAAGTATGGACGTTTTTCGTTCAATTATAGTAAAATGTTCATACGTTGGTGGTGTATAACATAATTATAAAATTTAAAGTAAAACTAAACAATCCTCAAAATAGAAAATTAAATTCACTTTTGACATAGGATGAGGTATAAGTGTTTATAATTACTTACAATTATAATAATGACCATTTGCTTACCAAAGTTTTTAACGAAGACAAAATACTTATCACAATGCTTAAAATTCTCAAAATAGAGGTTGATTGAAACGGCCTGTTTGTGTTAAAGTTTACCGTTATTGAGCGTTTATGTAACTAGTATAGCAAATGAATAATATGTTAATTGCTATTTTATATAGTTAATGAATAAACAAGCGAAAGACAACTATGTATAATAATTATGATGGTTTTTCATTATTATGATTATTTTTTCCTCTTTTGCCCATGTTATAACGGGACCAAAACCATGTGTTAACATAGTCACGTGCTCTTGTTAGAGCCCAGTTTAACCTGTGTGCAATACATACAGGGCCCAGTAAACAAACAAAAAAATGACGATTTGGCCTTGTTTGACAAAGAGTCATGCGCTTTTGTTATATTGAAATTATCGATTCGCGCTTTTGTTATATTGAAATTATCGATTCGAGGGCATCAATCGCATAAGTAAAGGCGAGCAGCATTCAAGTAACTATGCCGGAAATACGGCGTATGGACATCGCCGAATATATGTTGTCGCCCTTTTATAAGAAACGGACCGTTGTCAATGTAAATAAACCCTCCGAGTAACTTACAAAACAAGATAACACAAAATGAATCGAGAAAATGTTGTTTTATTGATGTTTATATTGATAAATGTTCTTTATATTTCTTTGAGAGAATAATGTTTAGTGCCTGATTTTTTTATAAACTTGTGTGCTTAAAAAAAACGATTCTGATGTCATTGATCTTTTTTCTACCGTCAATCAGAAATAATTCTAGGAATTTCTGACGGTCATGTTTTGTCTTGTGTAGAGTAATTTAATGTGTATTTTTCTGAAGTTAATAAATCTTCAATGTTAAGCTTTGTTAAATCAATTAAAATTCGAAATTTCGTTCGGTTCTAAGCATTTGTATTTCCAAAGATGTTTGCCCCGGAAAAATAAAACGCATACGCAAAAAATGTAGAATTGGATAAATACCGTCCAAGCACAAGGATTTAATGTATGTGTTTTGTATTAAAGCGACATCATGAATCTGTTTAAACTGTTATGCTATAATAGCGTCAACGCACGTTTATTTCGTGTTATAAAGTCTGCAGAGTACCTCGGAACTGTTGGAGCCCAAGCCCGGTCCCCAACCATTCCTCGGGACTCTGCAGACGTTATAACACGAAAAACGTGCATTAACCCTATATTATAGTATCATCTTATAAAAATAGCTGAGGGAAATTTATTGATATATCATTATGATGCTTATCGTGCTCTAGATACTGTTTCATTTAACTCTCAAACCGGACAAAATGCGTACGTCATAAAAAATCTGATTTTTAATTCACCAGTATGTATACCCGTTATCACGTCTTATCAATTCGAATTCCCATTCGAAGTATAAGGAACGTTTCCCTGAGTTTTCTTTTAACGATATTTAATAAAAGTGTCATTACCTTTTCCTACGTTTAATGTTAATACAAATGATGGACAGTCGAGGGCGTTTTGTCTATAATATTTTATAATTATAGCATCGAGAGGTATTATCATGAATTCCTTGGTCTGATTTTGACTATAAACCAGAATTATTTTCACCCATTAAATCAAATTAAACTGTTATGACTGATAAACTGACAGTGACACATCATATAGTCGTATGAGGAAATGACAAGCATTGCGTAACCAATTAAATATTGGTGTCATATACTATACCGAATAATCATTCAAAAGATCTTGGCTTTGAAATTTATGTATGCATGCGTCTATGACAAACAGTTCCCCAACTAATTTTATCAACTCAGGTATTACACGTATTTAGTCAAGTTCAGTGATGCATGTAAGTCCCTATCATTTTGATGATATTCCAAAACCAATGTATCGGTGAAGTTTGAGGGTTATGTAGTTCTTTATCTGAAACTGTTATTTTCTAAGTAAATATGACCATGACCTTTGTCCCTTTGACCTCAAAATCAATAGGGGTCATCTAGTGGCCAAGACAAATGCACGTGTGAACTTTGAGGGCCAATAACTCATGGATTGTGGAATTATTGATCAGAAACTGTTTTCGCATTCCGCAATGTGACCTTAATCTTTGATCTCTTGACCCCAAAATCAAATGCACCTTTGAAGTTTAAGACTCTAGATATTTGTAGGAAACCGTTTTAAAATACTAAATTAGTCATAAACTTTACTCATTGACCCCTAAATCATCAATAGGAGTCATCTTTTTGCCAAGACCAATGCACATGTGAAGTTTTAGGGCAAAGGGCCCATGGGTTGTCCAGTTATTGGTCAGAACCATTTTGATATTAAAAGTCAATGTGACATTGGCCTTTGACTCCATGACCTCAAAATCAATATGCGTCACTTACTTGTCATGGCCAAGTATTGAATCAAGTTTTAAATCTCTAGGCCTAGAGATTCTAAAGTAATTGATCTGAAACTGTTTTGTCAAAGGACAGACCGAGCGACAGGACGTGCAGAACAACAAACCCAAACTTCCTCGAAGAGTTTATAATAAAACATGTACTGACACAACGATGTAAGTCACATGGGCGAAAAGTAGCATTTCCCTGAGAACTCCCTAAAAGAAATCTAGGCAGTAGTAAATTCGTTTCGGACAATGGTAACTTAAATATTACGATGATTTGCGCATTTCCTTTGATAGAAACATGTAACATATTAACAAATTCTGCCATTTCGAGTTAAGAAAATACGTACAAAATAGTATTACGTAAAAAAGTGACAAATCTTATTTCTGTGAATGGGGCGGCAGTTATCGTCACGGCAGAATCATGTCTTTACAAGGTTTCGTCGTTTAGGTGTCAGAACCACCTTTACATGATGAAAGGGGGTTAACTCATTTAATAAAATTTTTTTCTTACATACACTTAGTACTTAACATTTAAAAAATGATTTGAGATTAGACGAGTTGAAACAAATGGTGCTTATTCTTTTTGACCAATTGAACAATTTGAACACATATTTAAAGAAATGTCTCTGAAAAGGAAAGCACGTTCAGAAAACCGACCGATGAAAAGAAATATCATAGTTGCGTTAGCTAT